TGGGCGACGGCATGGGGTACCACCACAACGGGTACCCTGGGGGCATGGCGGTGGTGCCGCCTCCGCCGCCGTCTCAGTGCGTGGCAGCCGCCGCCGTGAGCCCGGGGTCGTCGGACGGAATGAGCGCCATGACGCAGGCGGAGATGATGAACTGCATTGGCAACGGAGGGATGGTCCGGAACGGCGGCGGTGGCGCGCGGAAGCGCGACTCCCCCGAGGACGGGTGTACCGAGAAGACCGTGGAGCGCCGGCAGCGGCGCATGATCAAGAACCGTGAATCCGTGTCCCGGTCACGCGCCAGGAAGCAGGTGTGCTAGTTGTTCTCGTCAATTTCGTGCTCTTTGTGTGTCATTGACAAACTCGGTGTGCTCTGAAATGATGCTGGTGCTGGTGCAGGCATATACCGTGGAGCTTGAGGCTGAACTGAACCATCTCAAGGAGGAGAACGAGCGCCTCAGAGCAGAGGAGGTACTGAGAAGCGAAACATTTGTTCATCATCTCCTTTTCCTATCTAGTACTACTATGCATTGATATTTTCCTATCTACTATGCATTGATCTGATCAGACACAACGTCTCTGTTCCATTTTTTTTCGCAGAAGACAATTCTGCTATCGAAGAAAAAGATGGTAATTTCCCCTCAATCGCGCTATCCTTTTACGGAGTGTCGATAATTTGCTAGTTGTCAGTGTAACAATCGACATGTTCGATCATTTGCTAGTTGTCAGTGTAACAATCGACATGTTCGATCATTTGCTAGTTGTCAGTGTAAAAATCGACATGCTTTGTCAAGACAGTGCGCTGATGGGAACTTGCCATGGCTTTTGTGTCTGTTTCAGCTGGTGGAGAAGATGATGGAGCAGGCAAGGGAGAATGTGAGCGCCAAGAAGGGCGGTCGCGGGCTGCGCCGCTGGGGCAGCGCCATGTGGTGAACTGTGACGAGTGACTCGCGTTGTGCAGTTCCAATCCGCTTGCTTCCATGGGACTGCTGTACCTGACTACCTGTCGGTTGCAGCACCGTTAGTAATAGTATGCGATGTGATTGATGCATGGGACGTCTGCGAGGGACTAGAACAAGATATGGGCAAGAGCTTCCGCGTTGGCCTGCTGCTGTTCATATAAGCCTGGGGTTGTACAAACAATAAACCAGCTGTAAGATTAGTAACTCAACACAAGCTCTGTGTTTTCGTCCATGTTTATTTGACATGGCCCATACTATGCCGTATGCATGTTTGTGTATCTCTTGCATTTGATTCTGGTATTCTCATGCGAGTGGCTGTCTAGCTTGGATTCGGTTGTTTTGTTCCAGACTTCAGAGGCAACCAACAACCAAGTGTTCAGAAGCAAGAAAACAACCGGCAAACAGAAACGTAAAAGGTCGGGTGCTTCAGCAGGACGAAGGGCGTCTTTGGTTCCACGTCACAGGATGTCACGCCAAAGCTTAGGTGTAGCCACAGAAAAAGTAACGTGTTTGTTTGGTGAAATAAGTGTGGCCGCCAAACATGGCACCACACCTTAAGTGACGGCGTGCTCTGGCCGGCAACCAAGCACATCTGAAACGCACCATTTACAATCGACCTAAATCTAACGGTAGTTGTTCTGTATTTTTTTTTGTCTGGTATATATATATGGGGCCACAAATGATTTTGGCCCACATTGTTGCCTGCAATCTAAAGGTAAGTGTTCTGTTTTTATTTGTATGGTATATATGGGGGGCTTCGATGATTTTGGCCCACATTGCTGTCCTGCGGAGTAGAGCGAAATGCAACATAAGTATTTTTTTTAGGAAAAAGTCCTAGTTACTCTTTAATTTTGACGATTCTATGCGCAAAACTAAACTAAAATCTGATTCAATTTACTCCCTCCAACTATCTTAGTGCGCCCAATTTACACTTAATTTTTTTCCCTATGTACAAAATGTGTCTTAGTTTCAATCTTTTTTAGGTAGTGTTACAAAAACATTATTTTTCATCATTATGTTTTGTATGACATTGTATCTCTAGTGTTAATTTATTATTAAATTTCATAACCTATCAAACAATGGCAAAAAAAGTAAGATATATTTTTAACATAACTCATGATGTCTTCTATCACCTCATAGAATTTGATATTAAAACTCAACGTATACATGAAGAAACAAATATAACAAATCTCGTTAAGGGGTAAAAACTGGACCAACTAAAATAGTTGGGGGAGTAAATCGAACCAAACATTAGTTTAGAGGATTATTTGGACAATGTCAAACTTAAAAGGAGAAATTTGGACTTCTACCAACTCAAATGTCATCGAGCTCTCCTCACATTTGACGGCTGAAAAATGGTATGTACGAAGCCAGCAAAACAACCTGTTTTGTACAGTGCTTGTTCTCTTCTATATCAATACAAGTTCGGCTGATATAAAAAAAGAAAGTTCGGCAGAGCTCCTGCTGACCGTTTCAAAGAAAAAAAGCAAAACAAACCCGTTGTCATTTGTATTTCTCTAGCACAAGAGTAACAGCTGTTAGCAAGTACTACCTTCATAAAAAAATACAATTCTAAGTCTGATCTAAGTATAACTTTTATGACTACAAATGTCTATATTATGAAAATATATATCTAGTGTTATTTAGTATGAAAATTATTAATATATTTTAATATAAATTCAATTAAACTATTTTTTTTAACTTAGTACTATTATTTTAGAATTATATTTTTGGGATTGGGATTGAGGAAATAATCCAATACTATCGCTCTCTGGTCCAAGAAAAAGAGAGGGCCCGAGCTACAAGAAGACTAGCGGAAATATGGCATGTGGGCTTAGATTTGCTGCAAGCCCATATACGGAGTACGAGACTCCCCATCGGACCGAATTCGTCATCGCACAGCGCAGGCGACGCGATCACACAGCCACGTCACCACGTCGGGACTCGTCTCCGGTCTCCATCCTCTCTTCAACGGTTTCAGAGAGCCTGAGACAATCCCCACCGCCACGTGAGTACGTGACGCCATCGGTGAGCTCCGAAACCCTAGGTAGCGCGACCCGGGCAGCGCTCTGCGTGCCGTTAGGGGAGGGGGCAGCGCTAGGACGCGACGAGGCGGGCGAGGCCGACTAGCGGGTAGCGGCGGGAGAATCTCTTCCGAAGCCTTCCTGGAGCTGTGAAGCGCGCGTGAATCTCCTGGATTTGCAAACTCGAGGGGAAAGCTGAGATAAGGTTTTGCTTCTCTCCTTTTGATCTTGAATTGATTTTGTGCTAGTTTTCTGAGCTTTGTGATCGAAGGCGATCTGGGTGAAATAATCGTGTATTACTATGAAGTGCTACTTTCTGGGAATGCAAAGAGCATCCATGTGTTTTTTTAAGTTGATCGTGTCTTGTGCATTTTTCAAATGATGAATTTTTCAGAGCCATGTGATTGTGCTAACTAAAGATGACAACTAGGTAAATTATGGAGGTTGATTGTGAATGGGGATGGTTGTGAATTAGTAAACGCGGGATGCCTTGAATTTTAATTCGCTGAACTGCTAAGGACTCTGACTTGGAAACAAAATGCAACTGAGCAGGGCATATTATTGAACGCCTTTTTGGGGGAAACAGGAGGGCGTCTCCCCCACTGGATAATATATATTAGAAGAGATAAAAACAAAGAAACAGAAAAAATGAGCAGAATTAACAAAGTCGTGTTGCCATTCTTGTATTAAAGGAAAGTATTTCTTCTTTGCAACATGCATAACCAACGCAAATTATCTTTTGAAGATTTCTCTGCAATCAGTAACTGTTGGCTGAACACCTTGAAAGATGAGGCCATTTCTTGGAATCCATAAACTCCAGCACATAGGAATAATCACTTCTTTATAGAATGGAACGCCAAACTGAATTTTGAAGGTTTTGAAAAGGGCCCTCTTGATTAACCAGAAACAAACTTAGACTAGACCAGCAGGCCATGGCAAAAGAATATCACGGAAATAGGTGTTCCAAAGATTCTTCATGACTGAGGGCGCATAGAACAGAATCAAATGACAGCAAATCCATATTTATCCCTTTTAGTAAACCTCTTGTACTCATTTTATCATTGAGGAGGCGCCAAAAGAATACTTTATGTTTATGTTGACAGGAAGTCTTCCAAATCCACTTGAAAACTGGGTGAGCATCAGAATGCCCTATGAGTTGACAATAAGCTTTTGCTGGCTTATAAAATAGAGAGCCCAAAATATAAGTCCAAATATCAGGACCTACTGTTAAAAATAGAGCATCCAATTCCTGTGTCAAAAATTGCAATTGTGCATAAGCCTGTTCTGACAAGGGCAGGTGAAAGAGATTGTGTAGAGGGGAGGTCAGAACAGCCTTATGGAAAGTTATTTTCTTGTTCTTTGCAAAGGAGAACAACTCAGGTTAAAGATAGCTCCTAGCCAAAGATCCTCCCAAAAATAGCAAAACCGACCATTCTGATTGTTAACTGAAGCAAGCCCTTTATATGAATCCAACAGCCTGAGAATATCTTGCCACCAAAAGGAACCTTCTCTTTGACCCAAGGTATGTGTTCCTTATTGAAGAATTTGTGGAGATGTTTCACAAGGTGGGCCTTATTCTGCGTTTTCAAGTTAATGTCTCCAAGTCCGCCCTCATCCTTAGGTTTTTAGACCATATGCCAGGCAGCATTTGGTGTTTTTTGTCATTTAATGTCAGACCCTCTCCAAATGCAGTGCTTTCTGTATTTGTGTACAGTTGAATGGACTTTTAAAGTGCAAAGTTAAAAAGTTGGCAGGGGTGAGAACCAAATTAGCTATCTGGAGCCATCCTGGCTGGGATAGAAAGGAAGCAGTATGAACAAGCCTCTGTTCACTAGTGGCAATAATTCTTCAATCTTTCTGTATTGAATAAGATTATGTCACTGAATATTGTGTTTGTTAAACAAGCTATGGTTTCTTATTGTGAAATTACTCTAAGGTTGCTTTAAATACTAGTTATTTTTTTGTGCTTGTTCCTCCTTGATTATTGAACTCAGTCAATGTCTAATTACCTGCAGAGATGGGTTGGGGAATATCCAGGTTGATTGGACTGAAGGCTGCTGTCCTGCTTTCTGTGGCGTGTTTTTTCCAAGGACTAGGAGTGACCCTTATCTCATTTCCTCTCATATGTGCATCCGTGATTGCAATACTAGTCTCGATAGCTTCCCACCCATCGATTGATCTTCCTTTACTCCTTGGCAAGGCATCCGATGGAAGTTTTCCATTGTGGTCATGGATCATGTTCTCACCATTTCTTCTTTTCATTCACCTATTTGTGCTGCTACGAAGATTCGTGAAAAATGAACCCTTATACACTGAGGTTGCAGATGGAGTGTTTGTTGGAGGATGGCCTTCTTCGGTTGAACACCTGCCACCAGGTGACCCTGCAATCATAGATTGCACGTGTGAGCTGCCAAAAAGCTCGACTATATCTAACAATGCATATCTGTGCGTTGCTACCTGGGATACGAGGGCTCCTCAGCCATCACAAATTGAGTCTGCCGTGCGATGGGCTCTCAGAAAGCGGTCACAGAACAAGCCTGTGTATGTCCACTGTGCCTATGGTAATTATGCTCTTCTGCCTATGTTTGGATAAGGAACTGTGTTGTATTTTCCCATGTGTTTTTCTTGCAAATACATATATTTATGTTCCTAAATGCATTTCTGTAGACTAGCCATATTTAGATAACTGTTGAGACCATGTTTAACTCAGACCATGATGATCCACAAGACCACAATGGAGTTCCATTGTATTGGTGAACCATATATTGTGTAACATCTGGAGTCAGGAAACAACAGTATGCTGATATGTTTTTTTTTTCATTTCTCGTGTCATCTTATTTTATGTGGTTATTTGCCATGTCTTATTTAGTTGTTCTTATCTGCTACAAGAAGTAAAACTGCCATGCATAACCTGAACAGCATCTGCATTACATTCAGACAGTATAAGGTTCATCCCATATGTTGTGTAGAGTCTTGCAGTAGTATCAGACTTTAAAAAGATTTTTTGGCCAAATTTAAGCTCAAACATTGAGAGAAAATTAAGCTCTGGATATGTGCACTGGCTGGACTTTTAGGTTTGGCTCGTAGCTTAAACCTCACTGTTACTAGTTTCCAAAATAAAACCTCTTTGTTATGGCTTCTTCTTACCACTTCCTCATCTAATATGCCATCCAATTGAACTTATATGCCCAATAATATTGATCGCTTGGATTTCATTATTTAATGACGTGTTATATCTCTAACAGGTCATGGCAGAAGTGTCTGTGTGATGTGTGCACTTCTTGTCGCATTAGGATTGGCTGAAGATTGGAAAGCTGCTGAGCAAATGATCCGTGAGAAACGACCTTCTATTAGCATGAACACTCTTCACCGCAAAAGCTTGGAGGACTGGTCAAAACATTTGCTCCCCTCCTCTAAAAGAAGTGGGGAATCAGATGTGAGTTCTGTTATCCATTCGGATTATAACCGAAAATAAAATTGAACCAGCAAGGGACAGGCGTGTTGAGTAACTGTGATATTTAAGATCCATTGTACATTCGGTAGTATTGTTTGCTGCTGTCCTAGTGACCTTTTGTGGTAATTGTGTTGTAAACATTATATCAGCACTGTAGCTTTACACTGCTAGTTCTTTAAGGAAGATTTAGTGCCCTTGCCTCCTTTTTTTTCTGATGACAGTGTCCCTGCCTCTCATTGAATGCTTGCCAGGGAAGTGCTGTTGCCGGACCCTTTTGGGGGGAAAACCCTGCTATCCTGCATTCCTGCTGGGTTCTCATTTATAGCTATATGTGATATGTTTCTTATATTCAGCCTGCATTCAATATTGCTGCTATGTTTTCTTCACTTGATTCGGTAGTTAGTGTTCAGCTATTTCCACAATCCAAACTTTCTTTCATCGTGTCTACATTTCATCTATTTCAACCTTGTCTTGTGATTGTGAAGTCTTCTGCCTTGCTCACACATTTACTGTGTTGTATGCTCTTGTGGCCTTTTATCCTTTTACCATTTTTTCTGGTCTTTCTGAATCTTTTGCAGTAAAAAAGAGTGAAGATTTCACACAGCTTCATGAATGTTGTTTGTCATATCTTCTGATGGAAAGTCCTGTGCATTGTGCAACAACCGCCTAATTCAAGTTTTCATGGTAGATGATATTGGAAGCAGAACTGATTTTGGAATTTTGGGTCAACTGATAAGTGATAAGATCTCAGATTATGTGAAAGCTGTCATTTGTCCATCGATAGTTCTGGTCTTGCATCTTACAATTTGCTGGTCAGTTTATGTAAGATTCCTAATACTGTTTCTACACGTGTTGCACAATATTGATCTTTCTTATCATGTACTCCCTCCATTTTTTAGTCGTTTTAGCTTTTATAGATACATTTGGAATTGTGGGTGTAAGGAAAATGAACTTTAGGCCCATTTGCTTTGGATTTTGGTATTTGATTACCAACACAATCAAGTTAGACTAATAAATTTGTAAGTGATTGTTTTGTAGTCCAATAGGGTGCAAGACGTGACTTGGATCAAAGACGATGTGATGATCCGATGATCAACACCATAAGCAAGACCTTAGAAGCACAAGAGAAGACCCAAGATATCAAGGAAAGTTCAAGCACGAAGATAGGAACCAAGCCGGACGCAAGATCACGAAGAAACGAGCTCACAGAGGTGACCGGACGCTAGACCGGACGCTGGCGGAAAGTGACCGGATGCTCCGATCAAGAGGCTCAGCAACAGCAGGCGTCAGCAGCAGCGACCGGACGCATCGATGGTACTGTTCATCATCACCGGCAACACATTCAGTACTGACGGGACGTTGGCGGCAAATCGACCAGACGTAGGACTGCAGCGTCCGATCGAGTACAGAAAGGTTCCAGAGCGGCGAAATTACGACCGGACACGTCTAGTCAGTAGCAGAAAAGCGGGATTTCATCCCCAACGGCTACTTTCTCCGTGGGACTTATAAATAGACTCCCCAACCGGCCACTTGGATAGTGTTTAGTGATTTATTAGGTGATTAGCGTATGTGCTTTGCGAAGTGCTTAGGTTGATTAGACCATCGCCTATGCGCTTGCTCTAGGTTTAGACCTAGTGTTTAGTGAGGTTTGCATATCTCTTACTACCCAGTGCTTACGCGCACCATTGTTGTACATCGAAGGGACTTGTAGTTTTGTGAGATCACATCAATCGCGCTTGTGGTGTGGCCGTCACCGTGTACCGAAGAGAACAAGACCCGCTGTGTTTCGGTCGGAAACTTAATAGCGAAGATGGCGGTGAGCGGTCCGGGAGAGGCTTGCCGGAAGGCACGTCGGAGACCCACTTGCGCGTGGAAAAGGTCCGAAGCTATCTACGGAGTTACCCGACTGGGAGCTTGGCTCTTGCGAGGGATTTCTTGCGAGGGGCTCCAACGAGGACTAGGGGAAAGCTTGCGCTCTTCTCGATACCTCGGTAAAAATACCGGAGTCGTCGATGGGAGTTTGCATATCTCTACCTTGCTCTTTAGCTTCCGTATTTACATTGTTTACGTTATTCCTTTTGCGGTAGAGATAGCAACACACTAGCAAAACCGTAGTTGCATATTTAGATAGTTTATCTTGTGCATATGTTTTGCTAAGGCTTGAAAAAGAGACCATAGTTTAGAAGTGGAATTTTAAGTTGCCTAATTCACTCCCCCTCTTTGACATCACAGTCTTCAAGTGGTATCAGAGCCGGTTGGCTCAATTTGGACCTTTGGCTTAACCGCCGTTGAGCCGACGCTATTTAGAGTGGTTGGGATGGATACCTCTAGGCCTCCATACTTTGACGGCACTAACTTCCCTTATTATAAAGCTAGAATGGCTTGTCATCTTTATTACAAAGTGAATGAAATGAACAAAGATTTGGAAACAACTCATGTGTTTCATTAATCTCATAGAATATATACATGTGAAGGGGTGTGTCAAAAGGACACAGCCGATGAGAGAAGTTACATCTCGTCATCAAGAGACATGCCCCTTCGGTGACACAGTTAACTACTAATCTAATCTCTAATCCTAACTGCTTGTACAGACGCTGTACGGACGGATGAGATCATCTATAGAAGGACGCCTGTTGGTGTACTGGCGTCATTTCACAACACTCCCCCTTGATCAAATCTTCTTTGAGATCAATGCAGTTGTATGCTTGGATTCCTCAAAAAACCATGTGGGAAAAAATCTAAGGAATATGTATGTATAGATATGCTATAAAAACTCATTTAAACCTTATAGAAAAATAAAGAGAAAATAGCATATATAAGTGTGATTTAAATAAATCATTATGTCATTGGTATCCCATTAAAAACCCCATTGGGGGAAAATATTGGAGATATGATATATAGATTACTTCCCCACAAACCATTTTAGGAAAAAATATGAGGAGCAATATAAAGTGATATGTCGCTAAAACTCATGTAAAAACCCAGTGGAAAAATTAGGAGAAAATATGACGACATATTATTGGTATTGCCTCTTGGATAACTCACATGAAAAACCTTTTTAGGGAAAAACCATGGATGAGTTGTGAGGGCAACATGTGTCTTTGATATTTCCCACAAAAACCCCGGTGGGAAAAATAGGAAATATGACACATGCTTATATTAATATTACCTCATTAAAAACTTTAACAAGAAACCTTGTAAGTAAAACTTGTGAAAGAAAAGAGTATAATATGATGCTTGTACATGTCAACATTTAGGAGATGTCTCCTCCTGATTCTGGCAAATCTCGATGTCGCCGCATACCAATTCCATCTACCAATTTTTGAAACACAGAAGTTGGTAAGGACTTAGTAAATAGGTCAGCGAGATTATCACATGACTTGATTTGCGAGATGTTTATTTCTCCGCTTTCTTGTAAATCATGGGGATAAAACAGTTTAGGAACAATATGCTTAGTGATATTGCTCTTTATGTAACCTGTTTGCATCTGTAAGCGGAATTATCTTCATAGATAATTGTAGGTGATTTAATTGAATCAATACCACATGACTGTTGTATGTGGTTAATCATTCTGCGAAGCCATACACATTCTCGTGATGCCTCGTATAGAGTAATAATTTCATAATGATTAGTAGAAGTCGTTGTCAGAGTCTGCTTAGAAGACTTCCATGAAATAACTGTACCTCCATGTAGGAATACAAATCCTGTTTGGGATTTTCCGTTATGAGGATCAGATAAGTAACCTGCATCAGTATAACCAATCATACTAGGATCATGTTTTTTCTTGAAAAATAAACCAAGATCCTTTGTGCCATTAAGGTATCTGAGTATACACTTCGCTCCCGTCCAATGACGGCGAGTTGGGTCCGCACTATGCCTAGCCAGTAAGTTCACTGCAAATGCGATATCAGGCCTGGTGCAATTTGCAAGATACATAAGTGCGCCAATAACACTGAGATATGGGATCTCTGGTCCCAACATCTTTTCCCCAATATCCCGTGGTCTAAATGGATCTTTCCCTATTTCTAAGGAACGAACAACCATCGGAGTTTTATTAGGGTATGATTTATCTATATTGAATTTCTCTAATATTTTCTGGATATAGGCTGATTGATGCACTAAAATCCCTGAAGGACGGTGCTCAAGTTGTAAGCCTAGGCAATACTTGGTCTTATCCAAATCCTTCATCTCAAATTCCGTCTTTAGATGTTTGCGTGCTTCTTCTATATCCTTTGGGCCACCAATGATATTTAAATCATCAACATACACGGATATAATATAAAATCCCATTCGAGATTTCTTAATGAAAACACATGAGCAATCATCATTGTTAGTGTATCCTTTCTTTAGAAGGAATTCACTCAGTCTGTTGTACCACATTCGTCCCGACTGCTTCAAGCCTTACAATGACTTTTGTAGTTTTACACAATACATGTTGCGATTTGCGTTTGGATTCGGAATTTGGATTCCATCGGGAACATTCATGTATATGTTCGAATCAAGTGACCCATATAGATATGATGTCACTACATCCATCAACTGCATAGATAGATGATTTTGAACTGCCAATGATATTAAGTATCAGAAAGTAATTCCACTCATTACTAGAGAATAGGTTTCATTATAATCAATGCTGGGTCTCTGCGTGAACCCTTGTGCTACTAGCCTCGCTTTATATCTCACCACCTCATTGTTCTCATTCTGTTTCTGGACGAAAACCCATTTAAAGTCTACAGGAAAGACTTTGTAAGGTGTAGGTATTATAGATGTGAATACCCCTCTTCTAGTGAGCGAGGCTATCTCAGCTTGAATTGCTTCTTTCCATTGAGTCCAGTCCGAGTGCTTTTTGCACTCTGCCTTGGTCTTGGGATCTGGATCATCGAGAAAGATTTCTGCAATTGCTGCGGAGAAGTACATGTCGACAACAATATTCTTACAATCGTATGATTCTCCAGAATCTATGTAATTGATGGAAATTTCTTTCACCCCATTATTTGACTCAACATTTCCCAAAACTATAGAGTCAGGGTGTTCCGATATCCTAGGATCAGAATTTGGATGCACCATTGATCCGGGTTGTGGATTTGGTCCTGATGTTGGATTTTTATCCACTATTGGGTGTCTACCAACTTGAGGTTGGCTTAGATTTACTGATTTGGAGGATTTAGCCCTCGATATCCTCGGACGCTTACTTAGAGCATTATCCTTAGAGCGGCCGTACTTCTCCCTCTCTTCTTTGGAATGGGGAGTTGAATGGTTTTTATTGGTACCTCCACTCTTTCGGGCGCATTACGAGCAGGATAAGAGGATTTAGTGACACCCTTATAATCAGTAA